CAAATATCATACCAGTGGAGCAGCATACCTACCAAGGGAAGGACAGTGAGACATATTCATTGCAGCTATTTAATAATTTCCTATTGTCCTAACAATTTCCTATTTCCTAATGTACATTTATTGTTATACTATTATTTCGTTTACTGTAGCGATCAGCATAGATGATCTTCAGTTAATGTTTGTGGAATATTCAGGTAGCTTTTATGATACATGCAACAGTGTCTTTTAAGATCATGTATTGGTTTTCCTTTTTTAGTAAATACATATAATAAATGTATAGATAACTTCAAATCTGTGTATTGTCACCTGAACTTTAATCTACCTTCTTGTCATCCAGACTATGAGGAACATGCCCTAATTCCATCATCCAGAAATACACTGAAGTTCTACAAGTGTATGTGTCTACATTAGCACATATGTATTTAAAAATGTCATACGCCTTTGTATGGATCCAGCTTTGAAAGGAGTACTTTCCTCTTCTGTCCACTCAATCACCTACCACACGATGAAAGCATAGACAGTTTATAAGAGCTATAACGAAAAACACCCGGAAACGTCTGTCATAAAATGATGTTTCTCAGCTTTTCTGAATGTGTAGTTTGTCCGTTAATTAAATTGATCTGAGGTGTGGAAGGGCAGTGCACAGTTCCGGGAGGTGACAGGTTTAAGGATCAGCCTCTTCGCAACATGTTATGAATTGCAGTTAGGGCTGTATCATAGCTAAAGAGGATCAATTCGGGAAGCTTTCCAGGAGGTCATTTATCTAGCTTTGGAATATCCTGGGTAGTGAGCTTTATCAATACATGGGTGGAAAGGGCACTTTAGACATTTGTTTTCGCTCTCTAAACCGTGGGCCTTTTTATTCCTTCTAACCAATACACTTACAATTCCTGGCAACAGCTGCAGCCTCACTTTATACTCTGATAAGCAGGTTGTTGGTTGTAAGGGTTGAAAATCAGTGCTCCTAGCACTCATGGTGACCTTCTTCCTTCATGACTGCATACCAAAAAGTAGAAGCCAAATGTCTTTGAAGGTGGTTTATTTCCTTTTAATTTTGTTCAACTTCAAACATATGTTTCAATGTCACAACGTGCGGTTGCACTGTAAAGGATGCAGAGGACGACTTTACTGTCTGCTTTTCTGTACTCACCACTGTGTTTAAACTTCTAGTATGAAGAGACAAAAATAGTAACAACTGTGTTTATAAGACTCTTTCATTAAAATAGATTTTTCCTGTGAAATATGTGCAGCAGATGCTGCTGTGTGGTGAAGGTCATTTCAGCATTCATTTGGAAAATGTAAGAGGTGAAATCCTGGACTGAGTAGAGTTGCTGAGCCCTGGTCTCTAAGGAGCTTGTGGTTTCCACGTGAAAGCCTCAGCTTTTTCTTACTCTTTTATCCCAGATACGTTATTTCTTCTACTGTGTGTTTGCTGATATTTTATTCTTTAGGGAAATAGTTTTGTGCCTACATTTTAGGTAAACCATTGTGTGGTAACTATATAAAACCATAAAATATTAACAAATGTAATTAAAAAGAGAGAAATGTTAGGTTGTTTATAAATATATGACAAGTTTATTGCGCTCTGATTACAGCTTCACAGAAATGTAATTCCACTGGCTTCTGTAGCATTGCTTTTGAATTAGGCGAACAGACAGTGAGCCCAGTATATTTATGTAAACTTTGTCCAGTTAAGTTGTCAAAGCTGTGCACTGTAAAACTATTACAAGGTATTAATATACATTGGTTTGATGTAAAAAAAAAAAATTTTATGCCTAAATGTTGATTTTTATCAATCTGCTGTTTCCCATCATCATCTCTTCACATGGGTAAACTGCGCACTTTCCTAAATCGAATGACTTAGGACTTCTGAAATGCTGTGTGAATATTAATTACAGCATAGAGCAGCCCAGTGAGGAAGGTAGATAAGTAAGTATTATTATCCCTATTTTACAGATGGGGAAGCTGAGGCACAGAGATTAAGTGCCTTTCCCAAGGCCACACAGCAAGTCAGTAGCAGATCCAGGATTAGCACTTGGGGACTTCCTGGATCCCTCTCCCATGCTTTAAGCAGTAGACCACAGTGTTCACTGGACTCAGCAAGCAACTCATTGCAATAATGGACAGTTCCAAGGACTCGTACCTGGTCAGTGTGTCCACACATTTGTTTGCAGACTGCTGCAGTATGTCAGTATGGTTTGAATACCTCAGTCCTCGTAGATTTGTGCACTGTGTAAAATTTCTGACCTTCATCACCTTCAAATGGGGTGAAAGGAAGAAGTGGTAGAATTCTCACAGAAACATGGCATGGCTGTGAAAAACATTTAGTTTTCATCTCTTACTCTGATCCT